TTAATAAGAATTTTTTATATATATTTACAAATGAATATCTCTTACCCATGCACTGCACCAGACTCATACTAGTATCTATAAAAAGGTTTGATTATTTTTTAAATAGTAACTATTTCCCTCCAAAAACAATCTATTTACTATTTTTGAAAATTAATTTAACAATTTATGGTATATTTTAAATAATCACTTATGAAAATTGCGGCTCATTATTTAAGGAAATAATTAAGCCATATAAGTATTCATTTTTAAGATAACTTAATCACTCAAATTAATTTAACAATTTATGGTATATTTTAAATAATCACTTATGGTAAATTCATTTTTTAAATATCTTAATTACTTGTGAATTCACTGATTACCTAAATATGAGAATTATGGCTGCAATATCAATTTTGTGTTTTGGTAAAAAAATTCCAACTAAATTATATAATTTATTGTTTAATAAATGATTTATATTTTTCGTGTAATTCTTTTGTCAAATACATTTTTAATATACCCTAATTACGCAAATTGTGTAAATCTGACTGATTTATTCAATCTGTAAATAATTACTACAATTAGGGAAATATCCACAACCTTAATTAATTATGCACTTTGCAAAAACTGTTCTAAAAAATTTGTGTTAATGACAATTTTTATTTATATATTATTTAATAAATGTTATTCACATTTTGTGTATTTAATTGCTCAAATCGTGGATAATTAAAGAAATAGTTAGACAATAAAAATTTAGACTTTTAAGGTACTCTAATTACACATATCGTGTAAGTTTAGTTGATTTATTCAATTATATTTTTTTATAAAATTATTTTAAAATAATTGTGTTATGGCGGTTTCTATTTAATTATTTTATGAATAACTATATTTCGGTCTTTTTTATTTTAATCTATAATAAATGTGAGCCTTGATTTTGTTTTGTACGCTGAACAATTAATTTCGTGGTTAAACTGAATATTATTTTTTGTATTTTATCGATAATGTATAAAATCCAATGTACCCGCTTATGGTAATAAATGGTATCTCAATAATTTTTCTTTTATATATTGCTAAGCATTTTACTCGATATTAATGAAAGAAAACTCTGGATAATACTATGGTAAAATTCTTCTTTGTAAATGTGTGTGAAACCTATCAAATTCTTTGGTGTGTGTGTGTGTCTGTGTATAAATGTTTGTTTTTACTAAATTATATTGTAGTTAAATCAAATTTTTGAATAAAAAATTTAAAATAACATCTATTTTTGAAATGAATATAATGTAACTTATTATCAGTTACTTGCACCATACGGGTCGTGTACTAATTTTAAATAGACATGTTTTAAGTAATTTTGCACAACTTAAATTTCATATAACATTTTTAACAAATTAATATAGATAAATTGTATTACATTTTTTTTTTTCAAAACGATAGAGATATTATATAAATAAAAACTGCACAAAGTGCGAAGATAAGCAGCCAAAAGCTGAAAAGTACAACCAAAGACTGAAAAGACTGGGAGACAGATCCAAATATCGCCTAGAATAATAAACTCGCAACTACGCAAAATCAATTACACAAACAAAAAACACAAAAACTACTAAAAAAGATCCCAACAGGATAATACTCGAGTGTCTGATTCCAACATAATAAGTTGACACTCAGGCGCACATAGGTCAACGGCCCAAACCAAAAACACAAACCTAAATAACACAATCACAACATCACAAAACGAAACAATAACAAACAGAAACAAAATAACAATAAAACCACATTCAAGCCCTTCCCCAGCAAACAAACAGGCTCAAACCAACAGAGAAGCAATCAAACTAAGGAAGATCCCTAGGCCAAGGCACCACTACCGAAATTGCGAAGCCGCCTATACTGAAGTCGAACCCGGGCCCTGAACCGAACCCCAAAATGACCCGCCGCCAACCGAGAGAACGACGATACCAACTCCCCATACTATCGCAGCTCAAACTCATCTAACACCACTAGTCAAGTTCGGGAGTCCCGGACCCCA